AGAATTGCAAGGCTCTATAACGATGCCGACTACGAGGACGGCGAAACCCCTGGAAATGTACCAATTCCACGGTCTAACTCTGGAAATTATCATGCATATAATGGAATCCGGACAAGTGCGTTCCTCTACGTCTGTTGATAAATTTAGACTTAAAATCCATGTACGCAAACATCTCAGACGAGAAGTCGGTAAGCGCCCTGCTGGAGATTTCATAGCGGGAAGAGCATATCCTGGAGGTAGAATGTAAACGGAAAGGGTTGCTAACACAACTGATCAGGCAACAGTAAGATCAGCAAAAAGAAGGCGACTGGATCAAGGTAACATCTTTACTTTTAGGACAAGTCATTACAAGGAGATCAGAAAGAAACAATCGACAACCAAGAGGAGATGTCTACAGTGAGCCTAATCAAAACAAGTAGAACCACAACATTTGTGTAGTTTTCACACAGGAGACTGGGGCATATGGAGTCATAAACTTGGTATTATGAATAGGAGCACGATAGATGCCGCAGAGACTAGAAGAGTTTGGCTAATTGTAGGCATGTTTGATTATAATGAGATGTATTCACCCTATTTCGTGTAAGGTGATGAAGGTGATGATTATAGACATGGCCCATGAAGCAAAGGCTTGACGATGAAAATTACTCGGGATCTTTAGCCTCAAGTTGTTCTTTCATCCAGCTTCAGAATCCAGACTTTATCGGCCTACTTAGAGTGCGCGAATATACGTGCCATCAAAGGCTTAATACAAAAAGTGGGAATCAACGCCTCGATTAACACGGATAAGGTGGAAGGGGTTAAATTGAATACCTGATTCAGAGATATAGGAGATGGATCCTACGGTACGAGAGTTAGACTTGGCTTGAACTAATGTTAAAATCATTACGGAATTATATGGCAGATTCAGATCAACGTTTCGAGCCAATTGTATTTGGGTGGTGTGAGATGTGTAGAGGTCTCATGAAATCCGCACACTGTCCGATAGTTGAAATTATCTTGCATACAATGTATTCCGAACTAAGTAAGTTCCTCTAAGTTTTCCTAAAATATGACCAAGTTGCGAAAACAAGTTCAAACTACTTCTAGAGAATTACTTTGTTGCAGATGTAGGGAGTGGTAGCGACATGCATAGAAGTGGTACACGTAAAAGGCAACATGTGAGTAGGCGTGTGCTAATTGACATCCAGTGCAAAGTGACTTCGTTGAGGATAGAGCTCTGTTACTGAAGGAGATTCTTGGCCGTCGTAGAGCCGAGATTCTGGATCTTCCGTAGTCAGATCGTTGAGGAATGATGGTGAATTAGAAGAGAGTACGGTGAACAATGGCAACATAAGAGCGAGAGTAGTCACCACAAGTGAGGCTATGCTTTGGAGAAGTCAAGTTCATTTGGGAGTTCTTTATTTTTAATAAAATCTAATGGTATCCTGAGATATTCAGTAGCTTGCTTTAAGAAGTCAGCACGATAATTGCAACGGGAAGCTAGTATACTTTATCGAGAATGGGACTAATTGACCAGTCAAAGTTCCCGAGGCACTAAGAGGCGTTCATGTTAGACTAACTAGTGGAGTGATAAAGTGTTGTGATGGGCAATTACAG